GTAACGTAACGTAACTAGTAAGAAGAGAGAGAGAGAGAGAGAGAGAGAGAGAGCAAAAGAGAGATAAGACATTAAATTTCTAGACCATGCAATAAAACATTTGGTTGACTTTCCCATTGTGGACAATGCTCGGTATCTGAAAATTTTTAATATTTTATATTTTATCGCGGATCATAAATTTTTTTCAGAATACATATAATCTTGTCAAGTTTAATAAAAAATAATGTTCCACAAAAAATTTGATTAATTATAAAAATATATGTAAATTCCGTTATATCTTCAATAGAAAGAGCGACAATAATGAATTGTCATTATATCTTTTTTTTTATCCCATATACTTCCGTATGTGCCGATATACTGTGACAAATTAATGATTTTTCAAAGGAAAAATCATTTTTTTGTTTAAAAAGGACAATGAGATGTATACATGACTTTTTATTGTATGCAAATCTACATGATCTTCATTATACGAAATATGCCGCCAATTGTGCCATTTTGTCCTTTGGCGGTTTTGGTTTGCCTCGATTACGGCTTTTGGTGTGACTTCGACCACGTGTGACGACTGGTTTTGAAGCTACCGCACGATGTTTTTCTACCAATGCAGCAAAAGCTGGGGTACAAAACACACAACCGATCATCTCGGTCGCTTCGTTTGGCAATTTACTTTTATCCTGAAATCAAGAAAAAATTATGTAAGAATACAAAACCATGGCAACAATCATGTTGGCACAAACTTTTGTATTACCTGTTTGTATTCGACAGTTACTAATTGTGCACCACAATCACATGTATCCGTATCGATCATCACTTTATGGGCATTCTCAAACAAATGGATAATAACGTCACAACGATTACATCCCAATTTCCACTTGGGTGCAGCCGAAGGATCGAGTACAAGTATACCTAAATCACATTCTAAACAACTGGATAAGCCATTTGAATTCATACCATGTGCACATGTCGGATGTGTGCATGAATTGCAGCCACTCATCCCTTTTTTCATATCTCTAAGATCAACGTAAGAAATATAGAAATATACGTGTTTTTTTTGTTTTTTTAATATGTTATTCAAATATCAGTTATTAAAATCACATACCTGAACGGTGGATTGTTGTAACAATATGGGCAAAATGTATAACTTTTTCCTCGTGCTCCAGTCGACCATGAAAGTAATTCAAAATCATCCAATGGACATTTTAATTCTTTATATATTCGTATGTTTCCATTTTGTGGTAGATTGTAAGTTTCATTGCAATGTGCACAATGCATTCTAGATGGTTTGGTTTGTATATACTTCATATATCGACGACATTTGCCACATCTATAAAATATATATAACGTACATAACAAAGAGAATCGAAGCAAGAACGACTAAACATGCACGAGTAAAGCATTTATATGTTACTACGATCATCACTACTATTGTTTATATACCTAGAGTGTGCTTTGCCAGATGCTGACAACGGGGAGAATGAGACTTCAAACAATTGATCCATAGCTTCTATGCTTTGTACGAAATAATGAAATTTTTGTTTAAAAATTTCTACAGTATGCTGTAATACAGCATGAAAATCAGCTCGACCTAATGCTATTAAATTCAGTTGTTCCTCTACTGCAGATCTCATTGTAGGTAAAACTAATTCAGGATCTATCTAAAAATATATATATATATATATATATGCTTTTTTT